ACGTTTTAGCTTCCCTTCAGGGGTAAAAACACACAAGAAACAAAACCTCTAGCCAAAATAAAATTAAAAAAGGTTTTTTATATTAGCGATTAGAATTTTTGTGCCAACAGAAGTTACAGACCAGTATCCATTTTTCAGGCTTTGCTGAACATGACAAGTGTAAAGGAAATTTTAGGTTTGATTCTGGCTTTTGGAAATTATATGAATGGCGGGAATAGGACCCGAGGTCAAGCTGATGGATTTGGTTTGGAAATACTCCCCAAACTAAAGGATGTCAAAAGCAGAGTAAGTACTCATTTTTAATTAAAGATAATTTTTCTTAAGTGATATATTTTTGTTCCATCATCTGTCAAAAGTTAATCTTTTCTTATTTCTTACCATTCTTGCTTGAAAGAGCAAGGCACGTTGTACCATTTTCTTGCTTTTTTCTCCCAACTTTTCACCTCCTTCTTCTGCACATGTGCATATTTCCATAATCTCCCATTTCTCCTATTCAGTACTATGATAATTATCTTATGTGAGAAATTCTATGTATCTCTCTTACTAGTAGGGACTTAAGTACAGTAGGTTAGAGAGAAGTGAGAGAGCACAGACTGCTGAAGTCTTCTCAAGTAAATGTCTTTTTTCTTGCTCTTAAATTAAGATAGCTCTATGTGACTAAAAATGTTTTAAAAATTAGGTTTAAAAACAAAATATCAGTAAAGATTCAGTGTAGCATATACACTAAGGAATTATACATGAAGGATATAAATATATAATATACAGGATTTTAATCCTCTTCAAAGACGTGTGTCAGAACCAACAAGATATTTTCAATCTTTTTTTTGAATTGGCAGTTAAATGGATGTAGGGCATGAATTCTGAATGGCATACATGAGAAAATGCTCATAGATGGCAGTAAATTGTTTTGTCAAAAACTGAGAACCACTAACACGTTTTTGATTAGTCATGTTAGGATCAGAGTCAGGCTCAAACAAACTCTGGACACCTTTTGAGATGAGGTTACTTTGTTCATTATTTCAGTAGGGCAGAGGAGGAGGTGCTAGATAGATAACGTAGGCCATGGAAACACTGTTCAAAGTTGTTCTTTGCCAAAGCATACCTAGGCACCACATGGATATATGAAGCAGTAAAGAATTGGAGGTATTTTCTGCTGATGCTGGTACAGATCTGGAGGGTGAGAAAAAAAGTTCTTCGTCTTTTCCTACGTGAAGTGCTGTCTTGAACTGTAAGAAAGGTAGATTTTAAGCTCTTGTTCCCATTTATGCTTCATGTACATAGGAATGTGTTTGTGAGACAGGCAATGTCACGAAAGCAGTATGTCTAGGGAGCTTTTTATTTTACTTGTGAAGACCATCATTAACAAAGTATAAAAACACATTTAATGAATTGTTCAGTGAGCAGCTGTATTAATGAAAGTTTTTCCAATGGATTTGAGTCCTTTGCCTCCTAAAGACATTGAGGCGCTGGAGCATGTCCAAAGAAGGGCAATGAAGCTGGTGAAGGGTCTAGAGAGCAAGTCTTATGAGGAGCGGCTGAGGGAACTGGGGTTGTTTAGCCTGGAGAAAAGAAGGCTGAGGGGAGACCTTATGACTCTCTACAACTACCTGAAAGGAGGTTGTAGCAAGGTGGGGGTCAGTCTCTTTTCCCAAGTAACAAGTGATAGGACAAGAGGAAACGACCTCAAGTTGTGCCAGGGGAGGTTTAGTTTGGATATTAGGAAAAATTTCTTCACTGAAAGGGTTATCAAGCATTGGAACAGGCTGCCCAGGGAATGTGGTGCTTAGGGACACGGTTTAGTGGTGGCCTTGGCAGTGTTAGGTTTATGGTTGGACTGGATGATCTTAAAGGTCTTTTCCAACCTAAATCATTCTATGATCCTATAAGTCTAATTCTTATCTTCCTCTTCACTTGAATGGTTCAGCTGTTCCCTATGACCTCTTTGCTTCCAGTCCTACTCCATGGACAAGACACAGTACAAGCTAAACTAGAACCAGACCAAGTTTTCCAGTACTCAGGTGTTCCCTGGTTGGCCAGCTGCCATGAAGAAAAATGTAAAACAGCTGAGCTTTGCCTGACTTTTCTCAGTAGAACTACTAATTTTAGTCTCGCTCTTCTATCAACCATAAACTTGTAAGAATTTAATTATCTCTGGGACTTTCCAATTTGGCTGAATTTAGCCAGCATGTTCCAAAATTATGAATTATGAAAAGGAGTGACAAATTTACTGTATAATTGCATAAGACTTGTTCCTTAGCAAAACAAGCTAAAAAATTACAGTATTTACAGTTTCCTGGTAGCCAAAATAAATATATTATTAGTTTAGACTAGTCTCCAAAATGCATAAAAGTTCAAAGGGGCCAGCTCCTACAGGCAGACATGAAACCTCAGAGATAATTGGTAGACTATATTGGCAAGAAAGAAGAATGCAGGGTCTTGTATATTTGAACACTAAGGTATCCTTCCTGTGTCCTGTTATTCCCTTTTTGGGAATTGCCAGCAAGCAATATTATGTCTAGGTAAGCTGAATTCCAGGAGCTAAGGTAAAGAGTCAATGTTAAATACCTCTTATTTCACATAAAAGTAATTTGCTGTCACATGAACCTAGAAAGTTACTTGATACAGAGATTTTTTTAAAAATGTAGCTCACTTCAAAATCTCTGTGTTTTCTCTTCTGCAAGTACTCTTTAAACCAAAGTAGGAGGTTTGATAGGTTAACATATAGAAAATAGAATAACAGGTGTATTTTACTCTAAAAGGGCAATCAAATGTTCATGAGTCACCTCAGTTCCTTTTTGTCACATGACCTGTCAGCAAAGTCTTCTAAAATCATTATACAAACAGAGTGGCTTTGTCTGCATGATAGCAATGACTTGCTTAGTTAAGAATAATTTTGCTGGCATATGATATTAATAAACTATAACGTGCTGCAGGCTCTAATACAGGTGAGGCAGCTCTGTACAGAAAGTCAGACATTGTTAACATACAAACATTTGTCCTGATACCTATCAATATATAATATGAAAACACATAAAAAAAAAATTTAATGACATTCCAGATATATTTCCCTATATTATGATTCTTTTATGTTGTTGAACGGTATCCTGTAATGTATAAGTTGCGGTTTTACACTTTTGCTTTAGTTCATCTGGCCTATGCTGACCCAATGACATGTAGCCAAATAAAATGATGTTGTGTACAGTTGTTGTATGCAGGACCATGGAAATGGTGGTTCCACAAAGTGAGTATTAAAATTCATATTTAAAAGGCAACAGGGCATGAAATATACTTACTAAGTACATGGTGTCTGATTTTATATTTGGAGTAAAATATGAAAAATACCTATGCTTCTTTCAGATCTTTATTATAGGTGAATTGAGACTAGAGGAATCAAGAAATTTAGTTCACCTTACTATATCTGAATGACTGTAATATTTAGTTAATATTATATTCAAGAATAATATTATTAATTAATATTATTATTCAAATTAATATTATTATTCAGTAATGCCTTACATTATTAAGAAAAAGATATGGGGACAGCTTCTCCCAATGCATGTGTTCTTACCTGGTATTTGGAACCAAAAGGAGCTCTAGGTCCTGTGGTGGTACGATCAAGTCTATGTTATAAAAGATTGATTTTTTGGTCAGTAATGCTAGGGCTGAAGATATTGTGAGTCCTATTTCTCACAGCAATACAAAATAATAATATATTTATTTTGAAATAGAGTAAATTTTCACTCACTTGAAACAGTGTTAATCACACACATTTTTAATAATATATTTATTTTTTCCTAGGATAATGGTATTAATCTTGTGGATTATGTTGTCATATATTACCTACGCCATTGTGATAAGGTAAAAGATTCATTTTCTTTAAGAGATTTTAAAAGGGTTTGTATTAACCTTTTAAAAATCTAAAGACAGTAGCTCTGATGGAAAAATAAAATCCATTTCTTTTGCTTTCTTATAATAGTTGTGGACCTCAATAGGTCTGAAATTTGCTATAGGTTTCAAGATAAGGCTTTGGAAAATTTTACATTAACTGTTGAATTAACCACTGCAGGCAATTGCCTGTGACTGTTGCAGATGGGACAGGTGGTCACTCCAGTCCTGTCTTCTAACATCCTGTTACTGTAATATTGTAAATCTTGTTCCAATGTGCTAATAATAGGAGACAGAAGCATGACTTCTCTCTCATGTCGGAATGCAAGGACAGGTTGTCATTTTAAGATAGGTGAGTCAGCTGATGGGGATGAAAATGTGGGAAGAGGTGTGGCTTCTGCTTTGAGTGAGTTACATTTATGAGGCTTTTTGATAGATATCAGCAGTGCCCGAAGTTTTTGAGTGGAAAATTTTAACTACTGTCTTTTAAATGCAAATGTCACTATTATTTGATTTTAAGTATGTAATTGCTTATTTTTGAGATTAAGAAGATTCCTTTACCTAATCTGTGAATCTAAGACTAGTGCCATTTTTCATGACCCAATGTCTGATTGAATATAAATAACTTTTTCTTTTTTTCCTTTTTTCTTTTTTTCCTTTTTTCTTTTTTGTTCTTTTTTTTCTTCCTCTTTTTTTTTTTTTTTTTTTTAATTTTTTTTGTAGGGTTGTTGGGTTGTTGGGTTAGTAGTCATG